AATACAACCACTTCCAAATCCAGCAGCCTCCACCTGCATCTTCTGATATTAAGGTCACCAGGCTTTTACTTTGGAGCACTCATCCAGCTTTCATCAAAGTAGCTGGATGAAAGCATCTCCAACCTTTGCCCCAAAGGAATTTTCCTGGTTTCACTCCTGAAGGAAACTGAATCAGTTCTGTGAACTCGAAGTGTGATACTTGTACACAAAGAAAACCTGAGTTGTGCTGGCTTTGCACACTTAAGTTGCATGTGACTTCTACACTGCTCAAGGCTCCTTGTATGTTTGTTCAGGGTTTCTGCTGGCAGGACTTGCACAGCTTGCAGTTTACCACAGTTCATGCAAATACAGCATAAAAATTTGAAGTGTGCTAATTACCACTTAAAATCCTTCTGCTGAACATCAAAACACTCGAAAGACCATCTATGGGAACTTAACTCTTCTATTGTCCTTCAAGGATTGCCCCTGTGTCTGCTCTACTCTTAGCAGGTGGGGGAGCAGGCGGTAGCAGCACAGGGTACATAAGGCAACATTATTAAGAAACTTGCACTTCACAGATTTTCATGTTCTAGTAACGCCACAAACAGGCTGTCTTTGAGAGCAACACAGAAACCTTATTACCAGAGTGAGGATGGAACAGAAAAAATGTTCTCAAGAAGTTGATTAGAAAGAGAAGCTGCAGCAATGCATGGCGGACTCAGCAAGTGATGGAGACATTACAGTACGTTCCCTCAGCCCTTGGAACTAACTAAATGCAACCATGTACTGACTGCAAGGCCATAACATGCACTTTAACAGCACAGGCAACCTAGGCTACATCTGGGAGAACAGAAAATCCAAAAAACACCTGGTAAGAGAAAAACATGCTGTTATCTAGAGGAAGAATATCTAGCATCTCAAAGCCCCAAGGATCACATGCACCATCTTCTTCCACTTCAAACAAGGACTTTCTCCAGAGCTGTCAAGTCTGTCAGTATCCAGTATAGATGCCAGGCGTTACAGCTCTTGGCTCTGCTAAGACACCAGGCCATGAAGTTGAGCAAGGAGATCATAAAGAAGCCAGAGGGCTGCTAAACTGACTAGCTTTAACTGATTAAACTCCTAGGATACCAATAACTTGTGGCCAACACTGGGACCATCAGGATGAGACAGAACAGATCCAGTCTGCTTGACCATGCTACCAATCATTAAGATGGCAGGGAATTTGAATGTTGAAAGTTCACAAGTGAAGAAATGAGTGTCAGGGAGTTCTGGCAAGCTTTCCCAGCTCTGCTGTGCAGCAAGTGGAAGGGGGTCCCACCTTCAAGCAGCTAACTAACTACTGGCAAAGCAGAGGGGTAACAAACACAAACCAACACCATGTCTCCACACAACAGGGAAAGCCTTGTTCCTCCTCACCTACCAGTAACATACCTTGCAGCTGTAACACACAGATGCTAGACAAAAGGGATAGTAAAATATATTTTTTAAATATTCCAATTCAAATGGCTTTAGTTTATGAAAATACTTCTACATGGTGTGATCTTGGTGCATTGCAGACTGCAAAAAGCTGCCAAAACCCAACTCTAATAACTGAGCCCATGTGCCCCCACCACAATGCAGGCTGGCACTAACAGAACATAATTCCATGTCATAGCAGCAGATCTGTCCACAATGCTAAAGGACAGGACAATCTGAGAATTGTTTTCAGTCTATCCAGCCACAGCATCTCTGCTGTGAAAAATGCATGTTTCAAGATAACTGCTGTGGGGGGTGCCAGCAAAGTGTGGCATGATGCATAATCTTAGTGCCTGCCAGCACACACCCAGAAACCTGAAGACAAGTTTTCACCACTGTTTTAAATTATATGAATGAAGTTCTGTCTCTCAAACATCTACCACGCTCTAGAAAGCCATCAACTTGCAAACTACTAGACTCCCAGTTTGAAATCCGGATTAATTAATAGCTATTTCCTTGTAAGTTGGGGAAATGGCATGACTGCAGATGAAATAAATCTTTGCCTATCTAGAGGAAGTCCTTGAGGCAGCTGCCCTTAATGGAATATAATTTAACCTGCAGGCTGTACAAACTTGCAGCCACCATCAGGAAAAAAATCGTTAAAATACTAGTGAGTGAGTGCTTGTAAGAAGGCCTCTGTTCTTGCAGAAAGCTATTCTGAGGTACAAAAAATTCCCACCTTCTCCACACTACACAGGCAGAAGTGCTAAATAATAATGAAGTAAGAAGCAAACTATGGGGAAAGATGTAGTAATGTTATTATAGATGTTAGGGTAGATATGAAGATTAAGAGGTAGTGAACAGAACACCTTGAGTCTCCAGAAGTGACCAGAGGTGCAACATTCAGAAAGGAGTAGTTCCCACTGCTTCACCCAAACCATGAAGAAAAGAAATGTTGATGTTCTCCCAGTCTGCTAAAAGAACTCCTATTCACAAAGAAAACCAGCCCTATTCCAGGTCTGAGGGCTAGGTTAGGTTATGCCAGAGGAAGGGCTTGTTTGCAGGTGCCTGAATAAAGCATTTTCTCTTAGATGACTTTGCTACCAGGCCTACAGCCTACAAGGTGACTGTAGCAGCTGACTTAGGTATGATGTCCTGAGCAAAAGCCAAAACTGATACCTACACACCAAGGTGAGGAGTGCAGAGAGAAAACAAATCTGAGCAGCTAACGAAGGTAACAGTCCTCATGAATCGAAGTTGTTGGCACCAAGACCTGCAGGCTTACCATTACAGGCCACCAGAAGATACAAATGTCATGAGCCCATGACAGCAACTGAACTCCTTACTTCCCAAGAAAGCAATATTCAGCCCCTAAAGGTTCCCCCACTGACCTGGTCTGTGCAAGGACACTGCTCAAAACTGGAGACTACTGATTCCAAGGAAGAATGAAGTTAAGCATCAATTCAGCTTCTCAGAAGCACCAAGTAAGGAAGGAGACAGACAGTTCCTACAAGATCGTTTCAACCTCCCTTCTGAGTTCTCCCAGCTCCCATCTTCTAATTCAGACGAGATGAACTTGGGAAAAAAACGTCTCAAATTAAACAGCAGGCACTCCATTACCATGGATTACCATTCAGCTTTGGCAGAAAAGCAGTGCAACATGACCCTGAACCAACCTATTTTCTTAAGGCCTTCGGCAAGTAAGAAATGAGAAGAAAGCCACAGCTACAAAATTACCACAGAAAAGGTCAAAGTAGAAACAAACAGAACTGGTGATACTAAGACTGTAATCAACATTTCATTCAAATGGGAAACTGTCTCCTTCCCTGACACCAAAAGGTTTTTAAAGTTTTACTGCAGTTAAAAAAAAAAAATCCATCTCCTCTGCTACATTCTGCATGTAAAAATCGTCTTACAGATGGTGAAGAGATTTTGAAGGGACTGCAATTTTTTCAATCAGACATACACAGAAGCTTCCAGTTCCAGAAAACTAAGAAGTTTAGCAGTTTGGGGATTTAAGAAATAAACTTTATGTTGCAAGGACTCTGAAGCAGGAAAACTGCAAAAATTTATTCTAATGTATACGACACAGCACAGCACAAAGCATCAGGTTAGTCTTCTCACCTCTACTGATTGTTTAACATTAAATACAATTAAACTTAGCCTTTTATTAATAGCAAAAGACTGCAATCAGTATTTGGAAAGCATCCCAGGAAATTGCTAATCTGTTTATTTTCATTGACATAAACCAACATATTATTCTTCTCATTTCTGTAATGAAAATATTTATTACACTAACCAAAAATCTGCCTAAAAATATTTCAACATAGGTTTTGCCATCATTGGTTATACTGACATTAGAGAAACTAAAAAAATAATTATAATTTCATTTAAAAAAGGATAAAGTATCTTACATGCTATTCCATTAAAAAAAACTAATTGGTTTAAGGATAGAAAACCAAGTCTAATATCAGAGGTGGATCTGCCAAGGTCATATCTTCTGTTCACTATGGACTGTGTTACTGTACCTGAGGGCTTCCCAAGTCCTCTGGTGCTGTTTCTTGCCCATTACCTACTACATTTTTACATTCTTCATCCAACAACATGCAGCTTCAAGAACTCCTCTACAAAACACTAGTCTGCCATCAGTGCTGTCCAAGAGCAACACCCAGAGGCTGAATATGTTTCTACAGCAACTCTGCACATTTTAACCTGTTTCTTTATGAGAAGGTAGGAAAATTTTCATTATCAACAATTTCCTGGAAAACTAAAGAGCTGACAAAACTCTTTCACTGGTAGTGCTAACAGCCAAGTGTTGCAGGCAAACAAACCCACTCATGAAAAATCACATCTTTAAAGCTATTGCAAACAACATTTAAGAACAAATTATATATATACACACTTATATAGAGCTAGTAAGTAGTTTTTGCAAATGTGTGTATAGTATTTTGGTTGGCCAAGGAACAACCAGAAGGATGCCTGCTCTCTGGAAAGCCAACTGCATTTTTCCAATGCAGAAAGACAGGTAAAAGGCAGGCTACTCCCCATTTCCTTTACAAGTTGTCAAAGAAATACTTTTTTTTTTCCCCTTAAATCTTGAAGGTAGTTACTGAAGGAATAACTTGTAGTTTCAATAACAAAAAACCTCCAGTAAAAAGGTAATACCCCAGAGCATCTTTAAGATGAAGATTTTATCTGGAAACACAGCAAGAAAAAGGGATCGAAAACCGGTTACAAAAACAAGATCTCTGGCATCTAACAAGATTATTCTCTGTAAATTTAAAGCTTATATAACAGACTAAGAAAAAGGCTGACAAACTAAGAACACAATCTGTAACTCCAACTTACACCAATTAGCATGTACTTAGAATAAAATGTACTTAGAAAAGCAGTGAAGACTGGGTAATCACAAAACAGGACTGCACCTACCAAACATTGTATATTTTGAGATTTCAGAACAAGACAATTATTTCAAAAAAATCAAACAAAACCAGAAGTCTCTCTCAAACACCAGATAGAAAAGTCCTTCATCTGTTAAGTAGGCTTTGTTCCATTCTCCTCAGTTATTCGCTTTTTTTTTCATCTGTCTTTTCAGAATTATGTTCCTCACATGGCTCATGTTCCTCACATGGCTCCTGTTCTTCATGTGGCTCATGTTCTCCACCTGGTTGTGGTGAAACTGGAATTGTGTCAACTGCTTGGAAACAATCATCCCTCAGCACCTGCTCAGCTGTCAGTCTGTTACAGCAGAACAAATTCAGGAGAAGAGATTTAACTTTATCATCCTACAAACAGAGAGAGAAGGATTTAATCAATAAGCAAAACCAGCTCGATAACAAGCAAGTATTTGGTGAACATATCCTGTAAGTGTTTAGGGCCCAAAGTCCTCACCAAAGGTTGCACTATAGTATGCCCAGTGGTAAACCTCATTGACAACAAATTAAAAGCAAGCGTACAACACCAGGTGTGGCAATCTGGTACCAGTAGATTTCTTAGAAGAGCATAAGTAATTCTATTTTAAAATATCAATTTATTGAATTACTATAAATTATAGAAATACTGAAGCTGGTCATTGTACTGAGAAGAAAAAGAACAGGTGGCATTCACCTTCAACAACTTCCTAACTTTTGTCACATTGCTTTTTCTCTCTACAAGAACACAGAGGAAAAAGAGAAAAACAAAGCAATGGCTCTATCAACAACAGATATTTTGCTATTAACCCATCACTTACACTTAAGCTCTTCAGATTTATCAGAAGGGATTATGTGCCTAACTGCTTAGCACATTAACAGAGACAGACTCCATACACAAAACATAAAAACACAGCTGCTACACATATGCATAAACACCAGCTGTTGAGGGAGAAAGAGCACACACTGGATTTGGACAAGGGAACTGCAAGAAAGACAATCTCACATGCTGATCTAGGCATCTGGATGATCAAAACTCAATCGGAACAGAACCCTTCCAAAAGAAGGCTTGTTTGTTCAGTCTCCAAGCCAGCAAGACCTCTGACCAGGGTCAATAAAACAGCAAAGCACAAGACACCTGTACACCTCACATCTATCCCCACTTCATCCAGAGAGAATCATTGTGATGCAAAGAAATGTACACTAGCAGACAAAAACTTAAAGACAGAAACAAGCAGATAATTCCCAATTCTTCCACCATAATTACCAGAGTGATTCTAGAGAACTAGACACTCCTCAAATAATCTGAAATCTGGGAGAAAATATGAGATCTAGAAACAGATTGTACAGGCATAAAGGATTGTTTAGAAAACATTTTAAGCACTCAAAGTAAAATCTCTAGTTAGTAAGATCCAAACATGTGCAATGAAAGACAGAAGTGAACCGTAACTACACATCTCCCCTGCAAAATTAAGTGAGAAGTGACTCAAGTCTGATCATTTGAAGACCTTGAAAAGCTTTGCACTTGTATATCTGCATTTCATGGTACTATCAAATATCTGTCAACAACAAATAGCCCCTTCTCACCATCTTCTTCCACCAAGGAAGCCAAAAATTCATTCCACAAGGAATACTGCTGTAGGACAACACTTAATCATGCTTACTCCATTTCATCGTGTTTGCTTTTACTACTATTTTTTTTTTTTTTTTAGTACCTAAAACTGCATGCTGAAACACAATGAACACTGAAGCCTGGTGTGGCTAAAATATCTTATCTCTAAACTTTGTTTTCCTCAGAAGTTACCTAACATAAATATCCCCTGTTTAAAGCTTTACATTCTCTTCCTGTGGCAATTCTACATTTGTTGAAAACAACCAAAATTTTACTAGTTGCAAGTGTGTAATTCCTCCTGGCATGAGACTGAGAAGGGAGGGAAATTATGAGCCTGTCAAGGGCCTGCAGATGGGCATGGAGATTAATTCTGAATAAGCTGATTATAGATAAAGCACTTAAAAGCAAAATACATTTTCCCCAAGAACTGGGGCAAGGATTAACAGCCAGAGGTCTAAAAGATTCCCCAAGAAACAGCTTAAAGATATTTATTAGTAATACATTTCTTAGTAAAAGTTCCATGTGTGTTCCTGTGCACTGCAGGCAGAACAGATTGCTTTGCAGCAGACTTTGATGGTGGGTACATGTGCACGCACACACAACCAGGATGAATCCTTTAAAACTGCCAACAATTATTTACTGATTAGGTTTGTATCACCTGACAAGGTCAAAATAAAATGCTGCTTCTTTTCATCAGGAAAAAAAAAAAAAAAAGTTAAAGAAACTTGCTTTTATTAAAAGCTGTGAAATTAATCCCTGCTAAGAACAATAATGGATAAATACTTTAATTGTCCTTGAGATAAAGGCAGCTGTTTGCACTTCAGAGAATAGCTGCTATAGAAGAACACCAAAGTAACACCCTAAAACTGGATTTGTGTATTTCAGACCTTATTTGTAAAACGTTATCACAGCAGAAATTTTATGGAAAACAGAAGTAAACCAAATCCTATTTTTTATATCCCAATAAATCTTTTCTACTTCCTTGAACAATTAAGTTCAAGGGAAAAAAAATACGTTTTTCAGTGTCTAATGATTATTATGCATAATCCTGAATGACACACTGGGCAAACGGTTCTGTGGAACACATTTAAAACCCCTAGTTAGCCTTAATGGTGAATCATCCAAGTGCTATTTCCGACAGTGTGGCTTCATGAGATTAACTTTTAGTAAGAAAACAGACAACTATAATGAGCAGTAAGAAACAGCATTTACAAGATCACCTCCCCGCTCAAATCCTGTATGTTCTATGCTTTTGTTTTCCATGTGTTCTGGTTTGGTGGGTTTCTTGATAGCGGGGGAAACGCGCCATGGGTGGCTCCCAAAAGAAGCTGAGAAGCTCCCCCAGCTCCAAACCCAACCAAGGAGCCATTAGAGGGACAATAGATGCGCCTCAGTGATTAACATATGAAAGAACCGAGACCTGAGCTGAGCCAGCACTTAAGACAGGCGAGCTGGGGAAGGAGAGCAGTGCTGGTGGTTGCTAAGAAGAGGAAGCAGGTGCCCAAGCAGAAGTTTCTCTGCAACTGTTGGCAACTGTCCCCCTGCATACATAGAGGAATGTGGTGGAACATTCCCTGAAGGCGCTAGGAGGGGTGAACTTGGCCACTGGACTTGGATTTTGTGGCCAGAGCATTTGCTGCCAGTGGACTCTGATTGCGCAGCCTTGGAAGACCCCGGGCCAGGGCAGTTTGTTCCCGAAGCATCCCCTGACTCTGTGGGAAGCCCGGGCTGGAGCAGCTCCGGACCTCGTGGGAAGGACTCATGAAGGAGAGGTTCGTGGAGAACTCTCTCCCATGGGAGGGACCCCGTGGGGAAGCAGGGAAGGACTGTAAGGAATCCTTCCTGAGGAGGATGTGAACTGACTCTAAACCCCATCCCCTGGCCCCCTTCGCCCCTGGGGGAAAGGAGGGAGAAAAACAGAGAACAAAGTGATTTGGGCCCAGGAAGAAGGGAGGGATGGTATGCAAGCCCTGCTCTTTGTGTTGTCTGTGTCCTGTGTGTGTGTGATTACTGTGAAATTATTATTTTTTTCTCCAAATTGAGTCTGTTTTGCCCAGAACCTTAATTGGTGAAGAACATTCCTTGTCCTTTGTCTCGACCCAGGAGCTTTGTCCTCCTCAACCCAGAGTGTGTGTGTGAGGGGAAGCTGAGTCTTACCTTAAGGTAAGATCAACAGAAGAAGCACAATATGAGAAGTAGTCCATACAGGTTAAAAAAAGCCAAGGGAAATCCACTCAAAGGAGATGGGATGGACACAGGACGAGAACAAAGCAGTCAGTAACTAGACAGCCAGAAGCACAGCAAAAAGAACAAAGCAGAAACTAATATGGAAAAGCAAATTATTTGAAAAATGTCCATAAATCTCCCAGTGCATTTCTCTACTCTATATATGGTGGTATGAATTTTGTTATTCCAACATACAGATAAAAAGGAATTGCCTGTAGTAAAGGTAGAAGAGGTTAAAAGAAGGCTAGTAAAAAGGTCTGGCCAGAATGCTGAAAGGTTACAGAAAAGAGTTACACAAGAAAATAAACTCAAGGAAAGAGAAGTGTTCAGGCAACTAAGACACATAGAGAGATGCCAGAATAATACCAGCATTTGATTAATATTCAAAAAATGTGTAAGTTAGCAAAGGATTGACTTCAAAGTTGGGGGCCTAAGTTGAGAAACATGAAGGCACCCAGGTCTACTTCTTATTCTCAAAGAAACACTGAGATACTGGGCAAGGATCAGCTTCAAAAAACGGACTGAGAACAGAATTAAAGGTGGCAAGTCGCTGGCATACAGTAGACAGAGAACAACAGTTGAGACCAGAATGAAAGCAGCAACACAAATTTCTGTCTTCCAGGGTACACTTACATCTATGCATTTGTTACACTTGTTAAGTGATTAAGATGGAATTTGGCTGTTTTATTAAAGCTCAAGCAATTTGCAACCACGATGTAGAAAGGCTAATGAATAAAGTCAACTTCACGGACTTCTGAAAAGATAAGATTCCTCATTTTTGAGGCTGAATCTCAACGACTTATTCCCCAAGTCTGTAACTTGGTGCCATTCAATTTATAGTTATCTATGAAGAAGTTGTTCCTTCTGAGTTCAGTTAAGTATTAAGAAAACTATGGGGTTTTCTGCCTTCTCAAACAGCATTCTATTTGTGCGTGGTATTTATAACTATCCAGAGAGTAAATTAAGACTATTTCCTCAACCCAGCACTTAAAATTAAATGCTTGACTTAAAAAGAAATATCTATCAAACACCAATAAATAACAGAAGCCTAATCTTGCTCTGACAATTAACATACCATAACAACCATATCCACCTCAGGTGTTCCATCTTCTTTTCTGACAAACTCCTGGTTTTGAACACAGAGCTGTAAATTAAAAGATACATAATGCATAACACTGGTGTTTTTCCCTTTAGTTTAACAAAATTACGTATCAGTCAAGGAGAGTCCAGATTTCAAGTGAAAATTAATTGTTATGGGAAAATGGAAGGGGACAGGCTTCCTCATAATTTCACAGTAGGGTAAAACATACAAGGGACTCAAGGTGCCCTTACACAGAAACAAGGGGGGGAAAAAAATCAGTACCAGAACAAACTTTTAGAGGTCAAAAGAAATGGTTCTTAAAAAATATGACTCAAAGCCCATGAACAAGCTGTATGTGTAGTTATATAATCCTCTTTGAGAAACGCTGAGGGGTAAGTGCACTCTAACAGACAAACGTGAACCTTGAGCTCATAAACAAAGTAATTCTTTCCCAGTGTTTACTATTGCCTACAACCATGCCCAACTACAGCATTTTTCAAAACCCTGCCTGCAGGTTAAGCCAAAAATGCCTCTATTCTGAACAATTACATAGAGAGTAAAAGGAAGCATGTGTTTAGTCAGTGCTGTGCAACATACAACCTAACACAGGAAAGTAGATTGCTTTCTCCTCCCAGGCATAACATGCACTAAAAAACAAAACACTTATCTAAGCAATGCTGCCAGCAATACAAGTCCCCTACTTGCCTTCATCTTCCCTCTCTTTTGATTTGGGTGATTCTTCAGGGGCAAGGTCACAAAAAAAGAAAAAAAACATTCACAAGGAATGAATAGGAAGTGCAGTAAAAACCAACAATATCCAGCACAAGGAATAAAACTATATTTTTTTATTCATGTTACTGTACAAATTACACTATATATTTTACAGAAAAAAGCACTGTCTTTTGCCCATAATTGTAACTCCCATTCATTCCACACTTAGCAGTCAACTGAAAATATCAACACTTAGTTCACCAAGATGATTAAAGCAGAAGTTGGAGATGACATTTACTGCTCATTATAAGCCTGCTACAGTTCCACAACATTACTAGAAACTCTCTCAGAAGCCATAACATACCCAGAACAGAAGGCAGCCATAAGCATACATATCAGAGGCTGGAGAAGCTGGCTGTCCCATTTTTAGTTCAGGAGCAACTAAGCTCAGGGTACCGACAACCAGTGTGTTTGCCACAGCACGTTGTTCCTACAGGGAGAAAAATGGTACCTGTGATTTCAATCAAGACCAACAGCACACTGAAGCAGATGTACCTCCTTCTCCCTTTTATTGTCAGAAAATTTTACCATACAGTTCTGTGCTGACCTAGACCAAAATGTAAAATACTCCTTTACTGATCAAAAAAAAGAGGTATATAAAGGAAAAAAGATAATGTCACACATCTGTAACCTGTAACTGTAATAAAAGAACAGGGATGGCAGATTTTACTCAGTACTAGAACTATCAAAACTCCTAAGTTGGTAAAGAATATATATCACAAAACTTCTCAAATTAGAAAAAAAAAAATCACATATTAAAAGAACTTTGGCACTATTTTGAAGAACTTTAGTTCTCAAGTTCAGTTCTGACAGCTTTCCTGTTTCCTCTTCTCTGCCTTTATGGTCTTTACCTGAAACTAGCTGCCTCCTCCCTCCTTTTTCTTCCAGCATATTTTAGGGCTGTCTACTAACAAAATAAATTATAAGCTGAGTTTCTAACATTCTCTGTGACAGTGGCTGGCGCAAGCTATAGCCAAACTGGAATCAGGCTGAGAGAGTCACTGTTGTTCAACTGGAGAAGAGAAGGCTCTGGGGAGTAACCTTTCAGACCTTATAGAAGCCTTCCAGTACCTGAAGGGGGCCTTACAAGGAAGTCGGAGGGGAACTTCTTGCAAGGGCATATAGTGATAGGATGAGGACTAACAGTTTTACGCTGAGAGTCAATTTAGAACAGATATTAGGAAGAAATCATTTACTGTGAGGGTGGTGAGACACTGGAACAGGCTGCCCAGGGAAGTTATGGATGCCTCATCCCTGGAAGTGTTCAAGGCCAGGTGGGATGGAGCTTTGAGCAATCTGGTCTAGTGCGAGGTCTCCCTGCCATTGGTAGAGGGGTTGGAACTAGATGGTCTTTAAGGTTCCTTCCAACCAAAATCTACAATTCTGTGAAGAAGATTAGTCTCCAGATTGCTAAGAGTCTTTGGTAACACATCAGTTACCAGCTTCACTCATGTATTTGTGATCATGCAGAAAGTACAAGCACTGAGCTGCACTGACTCCCCTACAGAGAAGGTACAAAATGGACCCAGGCTGTGAACCATGGATGGAACCTTCCTGCATATAACATGAGTTGCTTATCTCAGCACAGCCCATACATGCAGGGAGGAGTAAGAAGAGGGATACTCTACATCAGCTCTTGCAATTTTCACAAGCACACCACCTGTACTGAGTATGACCATTCAGAAAATTCTGCTGTCAAAACTTTTTAAAGCATGTCTCTTTAGCATGTTGAAAAATCAAATTCATTTCAAGGGAAGCACATCTTGTTGTCCAAACAATTTGACATTCTTCATGAGACTAACAGATAATGCATTTCCAAAACAGAAATAAGGGTTCTCAATGAAACTTCATGTTTTCTATATTAATATAATGATATACTATAGTAGTATATAATACTATTTAAAAATTTAAATAAGCATTAAGCAAACCTCTACCACAAAAATGTTTGAGCTCAAACAACTTGAATTTAGAAAGTCAAAAGGTCACTACAGAAGAGATACCATAATTGGAGACTTTACTACATAAACACAACAAATAGTAAAAAACCAGCTTGTGTTCTTAAAGAACATTAGGTTTTCCCCAAAAACAACTATTAAAACCTTTACTACAGAAACTGAGGACTACATGAGAAGTACATATAACTACAGGTATATGTAGGCAACATAAAAAATCCTGTTCTAAATACTGCAACAGATTAAAACACACATTAGAACACTGTTACCTACCAAAACAGAAAGTCAAAGACTTTGTAAGAGCTTGCTCAGCCCTTCAAACATGAGTTCTTACTCTCACCTCTGACGGTGCTGATGACCATTAAATATGCAAGACAGACAGAAAAACACTACTGCATCTTCTCTTCTTTGTTCCACTATTTTGTTTAACCAGAGCCCACATTCAGTAATTCTTTCTTTTCCTGTACAAGATTATTCACATTTCAACAAGACTCAAGCTGCTCAATTATTCAGAATATGAAAAAGGAATCTCGTTGCTAAGCACAATCTTTATATTTTACATTGCCTACAATTGTCTTTTTTGATACATAATTCTGACTAAAAGTTGCTTAAAAGGTATCTTTTTTTTACCTCTGATTTTGTGAATTCAAAGTCTCCCACAATTCCGTGGTTTCGATTCACAGCAAAAACATTCCTCCCATGCAGAGATCCATGTACTATGTTAGCTCCATGCAATGTTTGTAAACCTTGGGCCACTCCTTTCATCACTTTTAATGCCTCCTAATGATTTAATTTGCATGTTTATTACAAAGATAGATATGGAAAAAACAAAGCACAGTATCAAGTAAGTTTCTATCTAGAACTAAGACTTTAAGATTTGTTCACAAAGTTCATGCCAATCCTGTTTTATGAAGTATGGATTAATTCCCAGTAAGACTATTATGACTTGCACAGCCAGGCAGGGGATTAAAAAAATGCAGTGACTGATTAATAAATCACTAACATGAAAAAATATTGGAGGGGGAGGGAAGAGAAATCACAACAAAATCTGTGTGACAAGTAGGTTGAAGTCCAGAAATGCAAGCTTCAAGTCACCAAACAGAACTAGAGATTGTGCTGGCTTCTAGCTACTGCTTCTTTGAGAAGGGATGACTGTCCAAACTGCCTATATGCTGTGTGGGAAGCCGGGCAAGGAAAAGGAGGGGAATGAAGTGAGAGAGAAGAGAGGAAAAAAAATTACATACAAGGGAATCCTCTAAAACTTCAATACAGAAATGCCTGCCCCTCAACATCCAACATGTTCAACTCTGGGACTTTTAAAATGTACTAGTAATCCAGCTAAGGCATCAATTTCATTAAATAAAAAGAAGTATATGCACACAAAATCTCTTCTCGAAAACTAGTAACTACTGCCTGACCAGATGCTAAGAATGCCAGTCAAGCTAACCTGGCAACTTATTACAGTCATTATCAGCCACCAAAGGTCATGAAACACCATCAGCCTCATAAGATACAGCAAAAAAATTTCATTTCAAAACATACAAAATAAAATGCTGATAGCCTAAGCAGTTACACTTACTTCTAAAGTCAAAGGTGTATCAGCCTGTAAAGCTTCCAGACTTGCTCCTGGGTAGTACGGAACCATTAAATACACCAAAGGATCAGACTTCAACAACAACAACAACAAATTAAAAAAGGAAAAATAGATTGTTTCACATATAATGAATATTGAGATGTTTAGCATATGTTAGATGTGTGATAAATCAATTAATTACTTATTAATTGTCTACTAAGTAGACAGTTTATCTAAACTCAGAAAGGAAAGATTTTTCTGATTCAATATCCCAAATTAAAGCATTTAAAGCTTTAGGGTTGGGCCGACTGCAAGTCTTCCAGCTGAAACCAGAAGTCAAGATCATCAATTTAAATCTTGCCTTGCAGAAAAGAAGGAACAACAGTTGTAATAATCCAGATTTATCCTTCTGCTGGTGCCAAACTCTGTGATACTTGGCAACTCGTTCTATCACTTGAGCCTCTGAGTTTACATCTACAGAGTATCCCTGAAAAACAAAGCAGATACTCAATTATTACTCCTAATGCCTGTAGCATTATTAATTTTAAAAAATAATAATAAAGAAATGCATATTGTTAGATGCCATCAAACAACTTCCTCTTAAACTTAACAAAAAACTAAATTCCAACTGTCACAGCTGATTCCTGTATTTTCTTATTAACTCTTAGAAAGTGCACCAACAAAAAGCGAGTGTGTCTCTAATATGATAGTTAAATAAGCCAAGTCAAAAGCAAGAAGAGCATTTACAACCATGCCTCTCACACCACCGCCCCTGGTTTCCCAATTGCTGGCAGATGGGTAGAGAAGCAGAACAAGGGAAAAACAGCAGTTCCTGAAATTTCTCAGTAAAATCATCAGGCAAATAGGCAACTGTAAGAAGAGACAGGAATAAGGAAGAGAAAAATAAGTCCACCAGACACCAGAAAGAGCAGACAGAAGGGAAGCACTGTTCACTACAGCAGTCCTCAGAAAAAGTGAAAAAACTCAGTAAGCAACATGGAAGCAATCCAAAGGGAAAATAATGCTTCATATTCTACAGATCCTAAGAAAAAAAATCTGCCCTCAGAAAAGCTCTGTTAAACACAGGGATATCAAAGGAACAGCAGAGTTCACTCAGAATCTGCAGGTTAATAAGCCAAGGCCTCACCTGCAGCACTAACTGAAAGCCAGTGCCAACATTACCTTTAAAAGAACCTTCTGGCCCTGAATTTCTGAACACACTAAAGGTCGCTTCATGCTCAGTTCCTTCATGGGCTCAGCATCCAGAAGGTCTCGGTCCAGGCTGCAAGTCAGAAGTCCACCAGAGCTCTGAAGCACATGCACACAAATATCCAGGGTAAGCACATGATATTTAACAGCTGATAAGACTAAGAGTCTTTGACTACCTCTCCTCTTCCTCAATTAACTTATCAAAGCACAAAGCCTGTTGGGACATGTTAAAAATTTACAGCATCTGCTACTAAAAGGCTGGCCACGACAGGACAACTAATGAAATGCATTCCTTGACCATCTCCCAGAAGACAGAGCAAAGGAGGAAGACCCCAGCAAACAACACTCAGGGTATATGTCCCCAAAATGACGAGACTGCAGAAAATTGTTGGTGGAAAGCCTTGATAATGCCCAAAATAATAACTGACAGTGCATTCAAATGCAATCTCTGCTTACCATATAGTTTAAAATTCCTGCTTCTGGATAAAGAAGTGGTAATTCAGGGAACCATTTCTGAACCAAGTAAGTAAGCTTCTCCTAAATGAAGGAAACAAGACCCACAGCTTCAGGTCACTAGTCTGACATAGATACACACCAATACCTGCAATGCACACCCAAGCATGTTCAAATGTATGGTGACCATGACTGTACCTCCTTCAGCAACACCATTCAAAGTAACACTGCCATTTGTTTTGTGGTTTGTTGTGTTGGTGTTTTTTAAAGAAAAAAAGAAAACCCAGTACACACAACCAGACACAACATGAACACACCAGTTCAATATGGACAGATTTTTGAAAGTTCTGTGGGTGGGCAGTGTTAAGGCTCCAAACAGCTCATGCACTATCACAGAAAACATTTTATATTTTCTTAAGGAGGCTTTTTAGTTTGCTTAAACTTCATTAAAGATAAGCAGCAGAAAACAGAAATCAAGTCATATGCATCTTCAGGCCCTGCACAGCTGTAATGCTGCAAGGTAACTCACATACAGACACCAGGTCTGCAGAGGGAGGTGTATCACCACCACAAATCTTGGTGCTCTTCTACTTGCTCAAAAGGCAATGGTTTCCGATTTTCCCCTCCATATAGAGGATTTACAGGACTGTTTTAACCTCCTTATAAGGAAACGGTTCCTCCCCTTGCAAGAAATACGGTCTTTCTTCAGCAACTGAGCTTACACTTTCACCTGTCACACTACTGGATTGAGAACTACAGCTCACATTTTGATTCTCACCTCAGACCATTATGCAGACAGTAAGGGGGGGAAAAGTCTGAAGAAATTGTGTTCAAATACACAAAACTGATCAACCTCCATGCTTTCTGCCATAGCTTTCATCAAAAAAGGGCCATCTTAACATTCAGCACTATAAAAATAACTTTTTTTATTTTACCCAGAGCACATATTAAGGAAATAAAATGCAGATGTGCCTCATACAGTTTTAGTTGCCTAAGTAGTTTAATGCTTACATATTCTTCTTGTTCCTTGGATATTTCCTGAAGAATCTTATTTCTCAAGTCAGCAATTTCCTCTTTTATTCCTGTCATTTCATACTCACTGTAATCATCAGACTGTATTAGGAATAACAAAGTTAGTGTATAATTCTTATTCTGCTATTATACCAATGGTAACCTACTGTATCATGATTAAAAAAACAGCTTACATATCACAGTCCTGGAGTTGAACGTATTCTCAAATGCGTATTTTACTCAGTCTCCTTCCTGGAATCCCAAGAGGAGGGATTAGGTCTTAAGAACTAATAACTGAAAGAGGTGTTCCCTTTATTTATGTAATAGACTAAGTATTCTAGTCCTTTGCCTACTTGTTTCCTAAATCAAAGAGCAATTTGGTTTTTTCAATTATCTTGTCACAAATAATCATAACAGCAACACCATTTATTTACCAGCAACATCAGGCTCATTCACTTTTTTCTCCAATGAGCAGGCCTTTTCCCCATGTCACCTCATTTTTCAAGAATCCTCTTGCCAATGGATTTCATTACTGTGTCTCATTTTTTAAATTCCACTTGGAAGCTTACTGCCCCTTTACAATTTGTAAAGAGGGACATGTGCAGGTTTTTTTTTTCCTTAAACATGATCAGAACAATTACTGTGCTATAAAACAAACAGCATTGAAGCTGGGCTAATGTTTACATTCTTTGTACTTCTCTGAGGGGTAATGGGGATCCCTAAAAACCAGAACAGACATTGACTTCTGTCACAAATGGGGAGGTACATGCATTATTAACAAAGTAAAAACCTAATATAACCACACAACTAGCTAAGTAAAAAAAGCTGGATAAAACTGTGTTATGAACAGCAACCTGCATCACAGGGACTTGGTTAAAAACACAGTGCCACAGCTGGGAACTGAAATATGAGTGGCTATGTACTGACTCTTTTTTAAACTTCTTAAGCTAGGTCTCAGGGGCTTGTAAAACTTCCACAGCTAAAGGCAAAACTGAGGTGAGAAACCACAAACTGTTTCAAATAGTTACAACTTACTTGGAACAGACAAAAATCATATCTCTAAACCAATTAATAAACAACAGACAAAAACACCAACACTGTAACGTTTTCATACTTCTTCAAAGTTGTTCTTTTCAACCAACTTCCACCTTAACTGGGCCTTTAAGCTTTTCACCGTTTTCTTAATTGATAATAAGTTGTTAATATCAGGTCTTCTATTCAGCCACTCCTCAGCCTGTTTTTTGAACTAGGAGGAAAATAAGAGTTTAAAAAACAAACAACCATAAAATCAGAAAGTGTTCAAGCATTCTATTTTAATATGTTCAATCCAATGCATTAGAGAAATTGCCTGAAGCCTATTTGAATTCAGCTTTTCAGGGTCTTTCCCCACAGAGAAAGATTTTTATTGTGTTTCATTTTAATTACATCAACAACCTTCTGGAAAACCAACATTCTAATTAAAGCTCAGTCCCCTGAAGTTACATACTACTAATTCGTAATGAATGCAGAGATTCTAGCTTCCACTGCTTTACTTTTTTTAAAGAAGTATCTTCGTATTTCACTGAAATGAAGCACTGGCTGAGGATATGTACAGCTGCAGTTCTCAAACTTTAACCCAAACAACTTCTCATCAATAAAATACACCTAGAATTTCCTTATTAAAAGGAGAGGACATTTTTCAAAAAGAAATTATGTAGAAAGGATTACTAGTATAGATCAGCACAACAGAAACAAATAAAGCACAAACACACCTCAACGCTGGCCAAGTATCTGTCCTGTATTACAGTGATCATACTTTGCTCCTGAGAAATTTTATGTAGAACTTTGTTGTAAGCACTCATAATTATTCCCTTCTCTGCTTCATCATGCTCCTGTATTCAATCACACAGAGGGAGATTAAAGACTGAGAATTGTTATTCATTTATACACACCAATGTTTAAGATGCAAAACCTTTACCAAGAAATTCCACTGTTAATGGAAAATATAATTTATCAGATTTTTCTCTCTCATCTTAAAGAGATTCTAAAAGGCAAGTTGGCTCATCTAAGTGTTCATCCAATAGTTTCAATAGAATTGGCAATTTCATATTACACAAGCTATGAAATAATTTTTTAAGGACAGCATGGCTAAATTGCTATGAAGCATTGCTCTAAAAGAGGGTCACTGGTTCAATCACAAAGAACAGTCAGAAGCAGACTGAACTACTGGTTGGTTTTAATATAAGTAATTAGAGGACAACTTCAGCTTTTGATGACATGACCATTCTCTGGCACAGTAGGGTCTCTTACTGCAGAGACAATGAAAGTACCTCAAAGTGTTAGCAAAACAGAACTGAGGACATCCTTATCAGAAAAGGTGAGTAACTGGGAATAAGGCTATCACAAGCATAGGAAAAGATTACCAGTAAGGCAAGAACACTTGTCCCATGCAGAATAAATGTGATGAAAAACTACTCACCTCTTAAGACAGAAAAAAGTAAATTTATCCACACACATTCACTCAGAGAGGTAATACCATTATTTTCAACAGAAACTTACTTTCCATCACCTGGATTTTCAACAAAAGCACCAAAACTCAGTACCACTCAAAGAAAGCTTTTCTACACATAGACCGGAAGAAGCAGTTTTCCCAGTATTTCTTAGTTACGCCAGTCAGTCATACAAACAGCTAAATTCCTGTAATCCAAAGCTGTCCTCTGACCTTCTCCTTGGAAAACACATTGTCTCGTCTCTGGGGAGCAACCTGAGTGACTTTCTATCACATTTCTAAAAAAAATATGCTGCCTTGTAGCAAATAAACTCATCTGACACATTAATAAAAGCTTTAAACTGAAATAAAATATGTATAAAATATATAAAAGTCATGACACAGTAAGCATAGTTAGAACTTACTTTTAAGTCAGTATCTAGCTCCTCAGAAATAGCCAACTCAGCCTTTTTGAGAATGTCATCTGCATTGCCAACCACTTCCTCTAAATCTGAAGATGCCTCTGACATCAGGTCAAAACACTTTAAAGAGGAAAAAAAATAAAAATCAGCCTTGAAACTGAAAGTAAGAAGTCAACAAGCAGATAGCAAAAACAGGCAAGAAACACAAAGAGTTAGCACTATGGGAAACGTAATCAGGATTTGAGTTAGATCTCACTTTCACATGCCTCCAACTTGAGTGATAAAACGATGATTAGAACACTAACAGAGTTAAGATTCAACAGGCAAGAAGAAAGTTGATTCTTGCCTTAATCGGGTTTTATTTTGCAAATCTCATTTTTATTTTTACCCAACATGAAACAGTAGAGAAATCCCAACCTGTCTCCTATTGAGTTTCATCTCAAAAATTAACACAGTGATAAACAAGATGCTCAATATGGCAGTTTCACTATCAAGTGGACTTCTCCTTCCTATACAGTACTACCTGAGATAAAGACACATCCTGAGATCTACTGCACAATTTATCAAGGGTGAAATAAGGTTAAAGGTTTCACCAGGAAACCTTAAGTGTTTTCACAGAACTCAGAAATAACAGAGCTTCAAGATATGAGATATAGCATGTGTCAGAGAAAAATCAGTAAGATCAGCTTATAATTATATTGAATATTGCCAGCAACATTTTGTTAGTAGCATCTGATACTACACTGGCAATCAAAACTAAAATGAAAATATGGTCCTGTATTTAACATGCAAGATAAATAGTCATAATAGAAGCCTGCGAACCCCGTTAACTCACCCATCAAGCATGTGTATTCCACTAGAGATTGGGAAATATTTTATTGCTTTAACCTTAAAGGAACTCAAATTAAAAATTCTAACAGTGCAAGTTCAAACAGTATCTTTCTTCCCAAAGCCTGGAGCTGCATACTGGACAGAAGCCATCCAGTCTCTGAAAATTTCATTGTCTATCATTGACTCATTTCCTCTTGTAGATTTTGATCAATGCTGAATGAGTTTCATTTGGATTCAGAAAGAGAGGAAGAGAGGTATTTTGAAAATAAGACGAGGGGAAACACTTCAAAGAAGCATTTCCTTTACATGATTGCCCATACTTTTTTCAAAAAAGGAGCTAGAGGTTAAATTGCAACAGAACAATTGCCTATCAAAAGCTGAAATGATTAAGATGGATAAAAGAAGATTTCTTCCTTGGGCTACCTAGCAGTGCTTTACCAACCCATGCCAAAAGTGTGTACATTTCCTATGTCTCTGAACTGTTTGCAGAAAAGTTCCAATTAGAAACATCACTACACTAACAAACTTCAGTCACTTTCATACACACAGAACAGCACTCTAGATCGCATTCAGCAATCACAGACACCCACCTGCAGGTTTGTTTGCCCCCTCCAATAACTGACATGAATATAAACATCTGCAAGTAATTATATTAATTAACATCATACTGCACATGACATGCATCAAGTGTACACTGCTGCTGAACAGCATTTACTGCCAGGTCAAGAACAAGTGTCTGGCCTAATAGTGTCTGGCCACAGTAAATGCACACAAAATGCAAGGGCAGAAAACCTATTCACTATAAAAATCCAGCCTTGTGGATTATGTACAATCACATGGTCAGAAAGGTTATGCAGACACAAACTGAGAACATTTACATGCAAGTGCAACAAAAAGGAGATCAATGAAGTGGGCCTGCAGGAATGGAGGGAGAGCAGCTTAGTCTTCCCAGGAAGATTAAGAGTCCTGAACTGAGCAAGAACATAGATATTAAGCACAGAAATAGGAGAGACATTAAGTTAACATTCCTCATTTGTGCATTCTTTACAAGCAGAACTCAGTGAATGGTAACCCACTTCCATCATTCAACATATTAGAATGGTACTGCAGAAAATACTGCAGGACATGAAAACAAAAGCGGACAATTTATTTGTCTGAATTCTCCGCACTCAGCATTTCAATTAGACAAATAATTCTATTACGTATTTGTCTTCAACCTGTACCTAGATCATGTCAAAATAATCTGGTTTCTAGCTTCTTCTGGGTTCTTCTTTGCAGTGATCTTTTATCACTTCTTTCAGTAGACCTTTTGAAACAGAACCTTTTAAAATCTGAAGTCTTTCTAACCAAGGGCCACTTGAAAGGATTATTTACAGCATTTTGGTCATGAAATTGACAGATAGAGCACACCCACACAAAAGTTACATTGCATAAAAGCACTGATCTTTATACAAAAGATGTCCTTTCCTAAGAAAGCATAAGCTCTGTACACTATACTTAGTGTACACAAAGGTACACTAAGAATAGAGATAAATTAACACTTTTCCCCAACACATTACCCTTCCCTCTGTATCAAGGCACTGTCACCCAAGGCCACTGCTCACATGCACCATCTCCTTGCCATGGGTAGCTGTCCCTACTCATGCCTATTCTTCCCAAGCTAAACAGACAGTGTCATACTTCATCTTTTCCACCAACAAGAAAGACTGACTGTTCGCCTTACCTTTGTGGTGTCACTGAACCAGTCACCAAGAATTTGCAGAGCTTTGTCTGTATTAATTCTGACACTAATTAATTTCTCCATTTTAAGACTCTTCCACTGAAAGAGCTGTTGAAACACCTCCTCAGAGTCATCTGCTTCAGAACCTTGACCATACACCATTTGCAGAGAAGCAGACAATTCCTGTGCATTATAAGTGAATTAAAAAAAAAAAATAACAGGTTTGCAAACTAGAAAAATGTTGTGACAGCATACTTTCTATAACAATCAAAACACTTAAAACAGAAGTAGTTAGCACTGCCTGCTGGCATAAATTATTTCTACTATAAAAGCCTCTCACTCTGTATCCTGTGAAGGATATTCAGTACCTGAAGGGGGCCTACAGGAAAGCTGGGGAGAGACTTTTTATAACGGTATGTAGTGATAGGACAGAGGGTAATGGCTTTAAACTGGAAGAGGATAGATTTAGGTCAGACATTAGAAAGAAATTTTTCACTATGAGTATAGTGAGACACTGCAACAGGTTGCCCAGGGAAATGGTGGATACCCCCCTCCCTGGAAGTGTTCAAGGCCAGGTTGGATGGGGCTTGGAGAAACCTGGTCTAGTGGGAGATGTCCTTGCCCACAACAAGGGGTTGGAACTAGATGATCTTTAAGTTCCCTTACAATCCAGACCATTCCATGATGATTCAACTTTTCTCTCAGATCTAGGGGCAGTATGTCTACCAGAAAATACAATGCAGAGAAGAATCTCACACAGAAATCACAGTCTGATTTTTCCCTTCAAAAAAACATCAAAAGAAGAGACACCACAAAAAGGTGAAGAATGTATCACATCCTATTTCCAAAAATAGCAACACTACTTACACCAGAGGAATATCTGCATGCGTTCCAGACTGTCCTCAAGGAAAAAAAATCAGGTAAGTTACATCCTATTTCTCATCACTTATTTTTCATACTATACAAAATTCCCTGGAACTTTAGCAACTTCACCAGCATATGGATGCAGGAACAGGCTCCAGAAGGATAAGAAATTACCAGATGAAGATGGCTCAGTGGCCTACATGCATTTGACCCTGTTCCTATCTCTTATCCTGGTAACTCAAAGGGAGCACAGAACAAGGTACTACACGTGGGGCAAAGGAAACGTGCTTGCAGACAGCCAACACAGAACAGCTGATACAAAACAACTGTTCTTTTCAAGCCCTAGCTTGCTTTAGAGTAATTTAGGTATATGCCCACATTCCTAGCCTTCCTTTTAACCAATACAGTATTAATGCTTGGAAAACATGGAGCTCACCAACTGTTTATTTCAGTACTAGCTAGTTGGACCCAGCTGTGGCTGAAGCTGTTTGAATTTGTGGTTCAGGCCAAGAACAGCTCTCATGAGAAGGTATGAAACTTAAGTCAGAAGAGATGTGTGATGCAGAAGAAGTTTGCCATACACAACTTCAATGAGAGGGGCATTAACTCCTACGCTCCTGTTCTTCTGAGACGCATTGGAAAAATGTTGATTTCTCCAGGACAGCACAGCATGACCTCTCCAGCTCTATAAAATTACAACCATGTTTCTTATTGACATTCAGTAAAAACTTAGTTCTGCTTTCTTACTTGGAAAAATTATTTTTATCTTCTAGCTTTGAATACAAGAGAGTACCACCAACACAATTATGCTCAAGCCCAAAATTCACTTGGCAAACCTAGCTGCATTTCAGTACCCCTTTGGGTATTTTTTAAAAAACTTAAAATTTCACTGCAGCATGACTACCTAGAATATGCTTAATGCCTACCATCTAGTGGATTAGCACAGCATAATCTTTAAAAACACACCAAGAAAAAACAACCACGAAAGAGAAAAACCCCACACTGACAAACCAAAACTTCCCTCTGTCTGAAAGAGCAGGTTCCATATGGGACCTCCACTGATAGAAAGCCATGAAATGCTACCCATTCAGAATCTTTTTTAATTAGACATCAACATCAGACTAGAACCAAAAGGTAAGCATATCAAAACATTTTTTTGAATGGCATTGTAAAATAATTCCTTTAGAAACTCAGTAAGTAATTCCATGAAAATGTCAGTGCTTCAATTTACTAAATGTTCTAACCTTATACAAAGGCTCAGCCTATAATCTTTGTGGTTTTTCAGAATAACCTAATGTCATATGTGTGTGGACAAATACACACCTGAAATTTGTATAGACAAGCTGCCAAACTACTGTCAATGTTTTTTTCTCCTCTCCACACACACTTGCACAGTTAAAATAAAAACAAGTAATATCTATGATGTAAAAAAAAAAAATATATTCTATTAGCAAAGGCCAGAGACAGCAACTTGGTAATACTTCTATTGGTGAAGTCCTCTTCAGAAGTTCTTACTGCCCCTACAGAGTGTATTTTCCTGTCTACTTCCCCACTTCTGTTGTTGGTTTGACTGGGAGGGACAGAGACTCTTGGTATAATTATGTGCTTCTCTACTGTTTAACTCTGACCTTAAAAAAAAAAAAATTTGAACACTTTACACTTTGCTACACTAGTTCAAACTACAAAGTCTTCTTATCAGAAAGGGCTAGGAAAGTGTCAGAAGTGCTGCTTAAAGCTTCATCTGCTGCTGTTGAGGTTTCTGACTATAAGATGTTTAACATGTATGAAACACCCTCCACAGGTTCTCAGTGTTTTGGAATCACTACTGATAAAAGCAAGCTCCTTACCTGTAATGTTCTTGAGCGTTCAGAAAGGGGCAGCTGATCCGCTTCTATAATTAATTTTTCCACAACTGAATACAAGTTCTGCTGCACCTCATCTCTCTTGGTAATCAGTTCATCTCTTTCATTCTATGCAGAAGTAAAAGCAAGTCAGCAACTCTCACACAAATGCCACATACACAATGTGGAAAGTGATAGAAAAAAATACATTAATTCCTAAAAAGTATGAGTAATACAATACATGACTGAATAGGAATGAATGAAAAGACAAACTTTGGTTTTAATCTCATACTTCTATGACCTAACCAAGTCACCTCCACAGTGTAAGCAAAATGCCTACAATAGCAGACAACTGAAGAGGTTTCTATATGACTGTTAGTAGAACTACCCCAAACAACTACCCATCAGACTCAGTCATACCAACTGCTAAGCTAGTTTACCATCTTGTTTCTGGTAACTGTAGCAACACTTATGAAAGTCCACTAAAAACAGTATCTGTATAGTGCAATCATCTCATCAATGCTTTCTCCCGTTAGTGTGATTTAATGGCCTCATAAGCAAGAGAAGAAAATTAACCTCCCTCCTCTACAGATAAGTTCTAACCCATTTTTAGAGTTTATTTCTACTTTTGGCCCCAGTTTTTGGCCTCCTTTAGTTCCATTCACTACTGTGCAGTATATAAAATAGCTAAAACTAGCTCTGGCATCAGCATCCTCATTAAACAGCTCTATTTATTCCACCCTCCCCCATTTTTTTTGTTAAACAAGCAACTGAAGCCCTTTTAAAACCATTGGCATGATTACTTTTCATCCTTCCCACAGAAAATGCTGAATACATACAAAAAGTCTCCAGTAAGTTTCTAAATTGAAATAATAAATTAAGTGTCACATCCATAAAACACTATTTACAATGTCTGAAAATTCAGAATTTTTATTACATCCTATTGAGTATCTGCCTACACGGCTATTAGTGGAGCTTCTAATAATGCCTGTTTTTCCATCTGTAAAGCCACTATGCTCTCAGTAACATTTTGTAGGAGAGCTGGTTAAGTGATCAGCACCATTACCTTCCTATATGGATACAGAATTTACATAAAATTCCATGATTAGTTGTGAATATATTTCTAAGCATTTCTATTCCAGAAGAAACATTGTTTCTACAAGCACATCCTTTCACTGTGTGTATCCTGGACATTTTTTGTATTTGAAAGCACAGTAGCCAAGATTCTGTGGCATGTTACAGCACATGAAATAGGTATTTTAATATCAAAATGATTCTCAAAGAAAACAAAATTAATCATAGAATCATTGAATGCCAGGTTGGAAGGGACCTCAAGGATCACCTGGTCCAACCATTCTAGACAATACTATAGTTTATATGAGACAGCTCAGAACCCTGCCAAAGTCACTACACTGCACAATAAAACAGGACATCTCTGGTACTGTACCTCTAGCATGATGACACCAAAATCCTTGGTCTGTACCCTTCACCTACCAAAGTCTTCAAAATGCCTAAGAAAAATTCCACAAGAGCCTTGTGTTGCCCTGTTTCCAGCTGCTAAAAATTCACCTTGAAAACTAAACTAATTCTTCAGGGAGCTCTACACTTCCAAACATATTTCCCCTTGTGCACCCTGTGCAGCACTCAGGCACTCTTAGGAATACATGACATCTAGCAGAACTCTTGTCTTCTTCATGTTTCCCCATTTAAATTACCTGTAACACTACCACTGACAACTTGCTCTATTCAGATTGCAGGAATATTTTTTTTTTACAACAACTGCTCTTGTAAGTCACAAGATACCCTGCCATTGTTTATTTACACCTTAACTTAGGCAACCACAAACAATGTCAGAATGGGCAGGGGGAACTCCAGAAGCATTGCTGACTTCTGAACAAAATGAGTTTTCAAGTCATGTAGGAGGCCACACCTTGTTAACACAAAACAGAGGACTACACAAACATGTGGAGCTGAGTGCTGTAAGTTCAATTCTAATATTCTAACAGCATAACACACTACAACACATCACGCAGACAAAACTTCACTATTAGCCATTCACAACTGAAACAGGTGTCTGAAAAAATGTCCAGACTAACATTTTCAAAAAAAATTAGTCCATAAGAAACACCTCATGTGCTCTTTGAGAATGAAACCTCTTTACATGACGCATCTTGGGAAAGAATGCTTCTTATTGGGGTTGGCAACTCAAAAAAAATGCAAAACACACCCAGATACATCTCAAAGACAGCAGAGTTATCATCTCCCTCTACTGAATAAACACTTTGGGATTCCTAAGTCACACCACTGTATCTGCATCTGTCCTAACTCTTGTCCGTGTTTAAAGTTTTCTTTCCTCTTTGTCCCCAGTCCAGCTGAATCAAAGTAAAACTGGATGAGGGTGTCAAAACACAGTTCTACGATGACTTTACTTATCTGCTGTTGTTCAACAAGGCTTGTAGACCTGCTTGATCTTAATCATAACATATATTCTCCAGAAAATTGCAACTGGTACTATTCATGTGGGATCAGGAATTCCCCAAGCAAAGTCTGTACCAGAGAATCCCTAAGCATCCCTGGCTCCTGGATACCTCACAGTCTAGCTATTCTTCTATACATCACTCCCTTATACAAGATGCAACACTAAAATATCGTCTGCTTATTAACACTTATCTTAATGTTGTCAAGTTTAAACATCTGACTTCGTTTTTAGAAAACACAATTATTTATTTTTACCTACAGCAATCAAATGATTGCCATGCTATGGATATTTCAATACTCTTCCCTGCACGAGCAACAAAAACAGAACTTACTCGGGTTCTCCTCATGGCTCATTATTTTCTAGTCCATTTCACGAGCCACTGAATTCAGTGTAATACAGTCTAACGTTTAAAACGTTTGGGGTTATATTTGGAAATAGTCACAACACATTTGCTGTCTTTCTCCCAGATGCACAACTACCAGCCCTTCCCTGCATTACCACGATGCCTGCCACTGACCCGGGAACCTTCCCGTTCCCAACAGCAGCCTCTCCACACATCTGAGATGCAGCACACAGCTACCAACACAGCCATGCCTGCATACCCAGGCAGGCTTTTTCAGAGAGGTTGCACTAGATGGCAGCTTTCCCCTATACAAGTCCATCTTTCATAGCGGCGTTTGCCTACCGCTCTCCCCATGCCTCCCCATACGAGGGAAGCAAATCCTAAGCAGTGGCAAGCTGCTTTAACAAAAGGTTTTAGACACTGCAGCTGCACAGCTGAAGCGGTTTCTAATTATTACAGAATAGAAATGTTTCAGTAATCATGTTCTGATTTCCTTATATTTCTTTACAAAATCAACAGTGTCAGAAAGTCTAGGTTTAACACAAAAAATAGCCCTCCATAAATGCATCAGTTGTGGCAACGGCAGCAAAGCCTCTGACATCATCTAGCAAAGGACTGGTGTTTCCATGCTTTCCAGCTACACTTGTAAGACTAAAATACTCTGTCAATAGGTGTTAAATTAACAGCTCCCAAGAAAAAAAAAACATTATTCCAACCTACCACATTTTTGCATAACTTAATCCTCTCTTGAGCCAAGTCATACTCTGTCCAAACCTTCTGCAATCTTCCCAAGGAACACGGAACAGTGAGACATTCTTTAGTAACCACTTCTATGGCTTCTAAGAGCTGTGCCTCAAAACGACTGTTCTTACTTGCATGCCTAAGTTGCAAGGAGGAAACAACATTTTACCAGGATTTTTCTTTTTAGAGAACCCCAGCAACTTAAAAATCAATGCAATTCAGACTCCTGTTTTGAGATATCACCTGCTATGTTAATAAATTTGTTTCTTTCAAAAGGTTGCAGCAGCAAATTGTCTCGTTCAGCTGTTAAATATCTTTTTGAGGAAGGAAGGACCAAGAACACATTCACTGTACCTCAGTATTGACAAGGCTGTACCTGGAAATTCTCTCCTGCTTTTAATTCCCCTTTTGTTCTATATAACATCCCTTGATTTATTTTTTTAACTCCTCTTCCACAAACACATACACCGATACATATATATTCCTTCTTAAAGTAGCTGCTGGTCATTTCTATTTCAAGCCTTTCCACTACAATTTTGTCCCTTCTTTTAAAACTAAAAGAGTAAATTGAGCTACCCAGAAATACATCTCTCAGCAATAGATACCCAAGGAACTCTGCCTACCCATTTACTTTTAACAGCTACCTGCACTTAGTAATTAGCATCTTCCTTGAAGATGTAATTGAAAGCTCTTCTTGCAATAGCTATGGTAAAGAAAGAGAAGTGAACCAGTCACCTGATTACCATCGAGAAGTAGGAAACGCAAATTCCAATGGGACCTTCCAAAAACATAAAGTTTCAGCCTTGCTTTTGGGAAATACTCCCCTCTGTATACGACACATTTTTCATCAAAAATTAACAAAACAAAACTTTGAGAACAAAAAAGCATGCATGCCTTCAAGAGATAAACAGGGCAATGATAAATACTACTATTAAAATATAAATATACATACCTAACTTCCTTCAATGCCTTCACCTTAGCAGCCAGACTTTTCATTTTCATTCCAATGAAAGTACGTAGGGTTTCCTCAAAACTTTCAGCAGTTTTCCTGGATGCTTCCTTCTCTCTCTGAATTAATAATAATTTTTGGAGTAGTGTTTCAGCAAAGAGAGATAAAGATAAATCAACTGTCACAACAGGCAGCCAGCATTACTAACATGCAGACCATAATTTTGAACACTAGAGAGAAACACACACAGGCAGACACACACACACACAGAGGTGCCCCTCCTCAAAACACTAACAAAATATCTAGAAAGACGTACAAACCAATGAGAATAATTCTATTGTCTTTAGTAGCTTAAAGGTCAGTGGTTCATTTCCTTCCTCCCATTTCAGCAGTGATGTGTTCAAGCGTATGTGTACAACTACTCCCCATTTGCTAGCAAGTAATTAGGCAACATGGAATTTTTTATTTCCTTGCTGAAGAATTCCTACCCATTACTGCAGGGAAATTAAGTCACTAAACTTACTTCCATCACTACCACACCTCAAAATAATGGAGCAAAACCAGAGCTCTCACTTTATGTCCAACCATCCTGACATACCTACAAGGAATACTCTTGACCCAACAAAAGCCCATGCACCGCATCAGGCTACATTCCTCCAGGGACAACCAAAAGTTCTTGCTCTCATACCACAGAGATGCTTTTATAAACTCCACTTTAGGTAATGAAATACTGTCTTTAGAAGTTGTTAGCCTTCCAGACTTGCTGTATATTAAAAAAACCCAAACAAAAGAAAACAAACAAACAAAAAAAAACACCACAAGAATTTAAATAGTTTTATATTTGCAGATGAGCAAATAGTGTTTTTTGAAGTATCCCTCAAAGCTACCACCACACATCACCTTTCTAGAACAAAACATTACCTCCCATAGAAAAGATTTGCTCCCTGTTAACCCTTTCTAAAAGAATATCCACAACCTTTTCTTTGAAAGCAGCTTACTTACATTCAACAACAAAAAAAATAATTAACATTGATAGAAAAGTTAAAATTAAATCATCAGAAATGCTTTTGTGAATTTATTGCATTCAAGTATTTGTTCTTAGCTACAGACATCTATTCTGTCACTTGCAAATTTAGACTGAAGTGCACAAACATCATTATCTTCAGCTGATGGAGAATCTATGCAATGACAGGTGACTGTGTAGAAACACAGGATTTATAGGTAGAGGTAACTGAGTAGGAAAGCTGGTTATGAATAGTTTTATTCCACAAAAAAGAAAAAGGAAACAGCTGTGTGCAAGTTCAGGGTTTGGGGTGTCAAAGGAATTTACATAATGGCAGATTTTACTTGAGTATCTGTAGAGATAAGAGCTTACACACTGTTCTTCTGAAGTCATGCAAACATCCTTTCACACAATCTCTTCTTACAACTGCTGTTTATCACACTTAGAAACATTCACAGCATTTTTAAGCCTATCAATAACTAAGTACTGTGCTTCTCAGATAGTGTTAGGAACTTCCTCTGGAAAGACTCATAAGCATCTTTTCCATCAAGAAGCAATTAAGGCAATAATAATTTTTATCCCGTTCTAAAATTCCACAAGTGCTATGATTCTGTGATGCTTAGGAATTTTCAGCTCAACACAAAGTTGTTTTTCCTTCCAAGCAAGTGAAAAAAGGCAAGGACTACATCAGTATATACAAAGTACATTTATCACCCTAAAGTGCAAACTTCACTTTCCAACTCAACATGAAGAGCCAAAACAGCAGTTGCACCAAGTGTGGTGGAAGGCCAGCACACACACCAAGGGGAGCTAAGGTCCAACCTGGACTGCAGAATGCCTGCTGACATACACCAACTGTACCTCTCTGCACCAGGTCAAGTCTTCACTCAACCACTTTAAACCTCTGCAGTCCAAACAACAGCACACAGCTGAACTGCAGTACGATGAAAGCACGTAAGTACGTAAGATAGCAACATTATCAGAAACACTCACAAGGAGAGAAGCCTCCTCTTTGCATTTCCACATACCTGAAGTTCATGTTTCAGCTGCTGAACCTCCAGTTCTAGTTCTTTCAGGCTCTGCAAGGCATTTAAATTCTCCCTTCTGCGAACTCCTTTCCCTTCAGACAGCTTCTGACCTGATCTTACTTGTGCCAAGCTGGTGTCTGGCACTGAGTTAGAAGGTAGCAATTTTTCCCTTAAAATTAATTAAGAAGAATTAAAAACAAACAAACAAAAAATCCCACCCCCAAAAAAATCAATGTGCACTCTTTCATACTCTTATAATTTTGATTATGACTACAGAACACCACACCAAAAAGACTACAGAAGAACCTACATAATCACACTTCAGAATTTCTACCCCTCTTCACATGAGTCTTAACAAAGCCTGTTACACAACAGTGAAGAAAAAATTAAATAACTTGAAGACAACCCTTTTTTTTTTTGTTTTCAGTCACTAATTCAAAAGTCTTTCCCATCCAAAAAACATCTTAGGACCCCACAATTAAGAAACCAAAAAGTGAAGGTCGCTTGTAATTCAAATATTCTACTAAATAAACCAAAGCACTTTTAGGTTAGTGTTTTGGATCTACACCCTAAAAGTTATGTTGATAACGAAGAGTGATGTGAAACCATCTGTCTCAGAGTACTGTGACAGACTGCTCCACTAAACCCCCACACCAACTTCCTCCTCACCCCCATGGCTCTGGTTACATCCTACCTTCTTTCTTTCCCAATCTCCTTCACAGGTATAGCACCCAAAAAAATGCCAGCGACAGGCAAAAAGTTAAAAACCACCAGAACATACAGAAATGGAACAGAGAATCTGATGGCTGCCGGCTGCTCAGATCAGTCAGGATAGCTTTGTACATGAAAGTACCTCAATACTGAGTACCACAAAAAACAAACAAAAAAGGTAATTTATTTTAAAATTATTTAGTGCATATCTGTATCCCAAAAAATAGGACTAAGAGTATATTTGATCTAAGAGTAGATCAAATAATTCTGGATGAGGCACGTTACTATAAATGTAGGGCTTTCCGAAGAGCACCTCATTTCATATTAGTATTTAACAGCACAGACTTGCCTAATATTCTCATTGTAAAACAGATCTGGATAGCATGGAAGGGCATGTCCTAAGGTGCTTTATTAAAATGTTCAAGAAGCTCAAATTATGGAACGTTAGCAAATTCTAAACAAGGTTTTCGGAGAATATTACTTCATACACCATCTCAAATTTCTGAATGCCATCTTTCACACCCACAAACATTTTTCTCAGTAGCCTGTTGCCATGGCAATCCTAGCAACTGTAGGACAAGTCTCTTTAAAAAGATTTCTGACAACTGTAACTGCCAACTTACCAACACCTCTTGTCAATGTAATTACAAGTTGCAGAGACATTATCCCCTAACGCTTACTTCAAACTGTGATGGCTGGCTTTATTTCTTAGAAGCACACACTGTTACATTCCTACACAAATACAGCACAAAACGTTTGTCCTGCTAGGTAAAGTGTATTTTCACATTTCACATGTGTGTCAATAGATGTAGATAAATAAAGAATGGTTACAAAGAGTCTTAAGGACAAGTCTATGAAAATTACACAGGTGATAAGAAGAGTGTAATTGCATTGCCTATCAATGAAAAATCAGCTACATGTCCAATGGCCTGCAACCTTCACTTTCAACTAAGCTTTCCTGTATCTTCTCCTCTCCGTATTACCTGCTACCCCTTCCATCTTCTTCAAAATCTTGCATTAGGATACATAAGAACAGTCTATCCCAGGAAATCAAATGACAAAGAACAAGCTATCCAATAAGCAACAACACTAATGCAGTCTTCTTCAGTTTAACATTGTAATTCCCATCACCACAGCAGGCACAAACATGCACATGCACAGGCTCACATAATCCTCTCTTCTAGTAAGTACCAGCCTTGCTTGATGCTGGGAAGACAGAAACTGCATTTTACATAGGCACTTCCCCCTCCATCTTCTCATATACCCACATCCCAGCAACTAAGCTAACCATATCACATATACAAAGTTTTATAGGATATCCCACAGCCTTACTTTGGGGCAAACATACGGTTTCCAGTAAAATTCTGACTCCTTGGACTGGCAGCTACGTGGTCAATGCACCCTTTTGAAATGCTGTACAGCGCACGATTGGACCTGTTTACCCATAGTGGAACTGAAGCTTTTAAACTCTGATGTTGGTTTTGCATTACGTCCGCTTTTCTGTCTTCTGCATCTATAGTGTCTCCTGGTGACGTGCATTTTTCAGCAAACCCTGCTTTGGCCACCTCTTCTCCAATATCTGTTTGTTCATATTCTGCTTGGACAATAATGGCACCATCTTTATGCTTGGCTTTGTGACGTACTTTTATTTCTTTTTCAAAAACTAGGCTGCTCAAGAACTTCTTCCCCTGTAAAATAAAAATACACTTAAGTTGTGTACTGGACACATACTTTTAGCTGAAATCAGCCATATTTCTTCTAAGAAATAAAAGCACATGTTTAAGAACAAAACTCAAAGAGTTGCACAAGTAAAGCTTATGTTTAACATTTATTCTGAAACAATGCTGTGTCTGCACAACTACAACTGTACCTGGTCTTCATCACCAACAGTTCTCCCTCCCTGTTCAACTTTGAATAACTCAGTATCATTTATAAGTGACAGAAGTCCAGAGTCCCATTAACTATGAAGAGAAGCTGGCAACCAGCTTATCCAAGTCCTTCAAAGGATATTAGACCAACTATTTAACAGTACAGTGCAAAATAGTATGAAAAAAGTATTCCTATTATTATATTAACAGCCTTTCAATAACTGGTTCATAAATTGAAATAGAACATTGCAACAAATCCATTATATGTATCTACCTTATGGAAAGCTACCTTACTGAAACTACTCATTTAGAAATCTGGAAATGGCAGAATTGGCAGCTATCAGTTTTATGGGTAATACTAAAGAAAAAGAACTCTGAAAGACTAGGACTTGTACTCAAGACCTTTATAAGTCATCTGGGAGAAAGTTATCTTTTATTAGCAGGGTGCTTTTTTTATTTTTTGTCCCACCGCTTCAGAAAACAAGCTAGTTTTGCTGAAAATTAAGAATGGAAGGGCTGAGAGCAGGAAAGCCACACAGAGCAAGCAAATAAAGCTTTACCTCAAGCAACAAGAACAGCTGGAAATAAAACCAAATAAACAAAAACCACACACACAAAACAAAACCCCAGGGAACTGAGAACAGAGATTATCACCTGTCTGAAGTAATCACATTAAGCAACACCAATAGGACCATCAAGGACACAGAAGGGGTCCCAGGATCTCTAAATAATAGAGGGATGTGACAAGGCAAGCAAGAGAGCCTTTTCCTGCCTCCTCTTTGTCCAGCAGCTGCTGCTCCCAAGCACTGGCTTCTGGCCTTGAAGAAGCATGCCATTAAGACTGTAAACAGTGTTCCAGAAAGGGAGACTGCTACTAGTAAAACCTGACCAACACTCACCAGCACCAATCAAGAGGACTCAAAGCTTTCACTATCCCTGTTGGCATCAGCTCCTGAGCCTTTCACGTTCAATGCTGGCAAAGGAGAACAGGGTTCCTACTGCCATTCATATTCACCTGCTAGTCTCTCTCCTCACCAAGTCTGTACACAGCACACAGGCACACAGCACTCAAACAGCTCACTGACCTAAGTGAATTTCAAGTTCTGTGATCAAGGGAGGCATTTTTCCCTCTGAAGAGAAAGAAACAGAGGTGCTTGGTTTCCTCAGCACCAGAAAGAACCTGGGTCAGTCAGAAATAGACCCAAGGCTCTGAAGATGGGGAAAAACGTACTCTAAAAGTCACCTCCTGGCACAACCTGAACCATTTTTGATAAAACCATTTTAGTTTCTAGAATATCCTCAGGGCAACAGATCAGACAGTCCTTCCCAGCATGCCCTGCCTTCACAGTTAAAACATCCAGCTCTTACAAGACTCCACCCAGTGACACTGTTCTGATATTTGGCAGCATCTGTTACAGATCACATAATCTAAATGCTTGAAAATCTTTTACTCACCTGGTCAAACATATTTAAGTTCTCATCAGCTGGTAACTGCAGTCCCCAAAGCCTGTACCTCTTGGCAACACTCGGACATTGCAAGTTTGGTGGAATTTCAACTATGTCTGATCTATTCAGAACCTCAGAATTTCCAAAGTCAATGTACAATACCTGACACTGCAACAATAATAAATATAAATGAGCAGAGGTTACACAAGCATCCTACAGAAACATGTGATGACAGCTACTAGAACATAAGCATTTTAACACACATGCACGTTGCAGAGATCACAATCTTCTGTACTAAGTCTAGACATCCTTCAGAGGAAAGAACCGAGTTAAAGAAATCTCATATTGGTACTGGCTTAAAAGCCTAGTGACAAAACTTTTAAGAAACAAAACAGGTCTTTGATGGATTTTTTTTTCCTCTAAGGGATACAATGAGGAAGCAACATAGGAGACTTTCTTCACTGGACAGGTGTGAAATCTAACGTTTCAATGCCAATCAGCCTGTCAGGAAATTACCATTTTAAATAGGAACCATTAGCCTCTGTGTCAACACCTAATGCTGATTAGCGACTCATTCAGGTCATTCGCATCATTGCTAACATGTCACATAAAGGCTACCATTTTCAACACTTAGAAGTTTTGAAATTAAATTACATTCCTTAATAACATTAACTACCGCGCCAGAAATTCACTATCCAGAGATACAAACAGCACCTTGCACGTATGTTATGTTTCGCCAGTCCTTTCATCAGTATTTTTCAAAATTACAACTAACAGGAATTTGTGTCCCACATACACATTCACAGTTTTTAAAAGCATACACACAGCAAGTTTCAAAAGGGAGCTGCATTTATTCCTATCATCCTGCATGTAGAACTGACATACAATTAAAGACAAAAAAAAAAACAGTTCCTGCCTTCTCATTGCTGATCACTTGCTGTACCACACATCTGTACCAACACTTATCTTCAGAAAAACAGCCACCATAAATCTGAAAAACAGGGGGAAAAAAAATCAAGAATAGCATTCTGAAAATACAAGCATACCTCAAAACGGTATTTGTAATACGTTACAAATCTTATTTTCATATTCCCCTACAATTATCCCAACTGCAGCATGAAAACAGTCATGTATTTGATATCCTATCTCACAATTCAATACATGCTAATGCTTCAAAAACAATCTTCTGCTCCAAAACAGTAGCTCAAGAGAAAATTTTATAAACAGAACACCAACATTTTACACACTAGACTCCTGTGGCTTTTCTGCTAATGTGTCGTTGCAGATTTTATTGACACAGAGGACTTAGTAAGCCTGACAAAGGAACAGGCCAGTCACGCCACAAACACAATGGTTTTGCTGTTGGTGCGTTCTCTTCCTCTTCAAGAAGAATGTAGGTCATTTACTTGCATACACAAACAGTTCAGACAAATCATTTTCATCATAAAATCACAGAATGGTTTGAGTTGGAAGGGACCTCAAAGATCATCTAGTTCCAACCCCCCGCAATAGGCAGGGATAGCTCTCACTAGATCAGGTTGCTCAGAACCCTATCCAACCTGGCCTTGAACATTTCCACAGAGTGGGAATCACCTCCCTTGACCTGCTGACTACACTTGTTTTGATGCAGCCCAGGACAAGGTTGGCTTTCTAGGCTGCAAGTGCACATTGCCAGCTCACGTTGAGCTTCTTGTCCACCACCACCCCTGAGTCCTTCTCCTCTGGACTGTTTTTGATCCATTCTCCACAAGCCCTGTATTTATGCTTGGGATTGCCCTGACCAAGGTGCAGGACCTTGCACTTGGCCTTGCTTAACTTCATGTTATTTGCATTAGCCCACTTGTCAAGCCTGTCAAGGTCCCTCTGGATGGCATCCCTTCCCTCCAGAGTGTTGACCTCACCACACACTTTGTTGTCATCAGCAAACTTTCTGAGGGTGCACTCAGTGCCACTGTCCCTGTCACTGACAAAGATGTTCAACAGCACCGGTCCAAGTACCAGCCCTTGGGAACACCACTCATCACAGGTCTCCATCCGGACATCGAGCCATTGATCACCAACCTTTGAGAGCAACCATAAAGCCAGTTCCTTACCCAAGGAGTGGTCCATCTATCGAATCCGTAACATTCCAGTTTCAATACCATTTATTATTATTATGTATTATTATTTTTATTATTATTAAGGTTTTCTTTAAACCTTACTTTGCAATAAGCTATCAGCAGTCCACACACAAAAACAAGTTTGATCACTCTGTATGCATGTCATAGAAGTGCTATTAAACACATACTTGTTACCCTCTAAAGAGTACTTAGTCTGGCACATTTAACATTGTAGTTTTTTTAAGATCTTCTGTACCTCCTGAGATGGAGTAAAGAATCACTTCATCTGAAAACACACTGCTCTCTTGTTAAAGATAACCCACACAACAAAAGGCAATTCAGTGTTCTGTATGTTTCTTTCTTGTAGTGTATCCCTATCATTAAAAAAACTCCCATAGTTGCATAATTTAACCAAAGTCTGAAGTGCAGAAAGATTTAAACTTGCTCACACAAACTAAGCATTTTCTTTAGGATAGCCAGTAGTTCTTAAAGTCATCTTCAGAGAATATAGCCCACAGCATAATCAAAGCCCAAGAAAACACCTAAGAGTATGGCTGCATAGAATTAAGGCTTTTAGATCCTGGTGAAAAACAAACTCCACATATACACAACCTACTTACCTTATGAAAATCAAGCGTGCCAAAAACTGCATTAGCCCGAGGACAAACTTCTGACAATGCATGAGTTAATTTCAAGAGGTCATCACATCTACTGACATTCTACGAAGGGCGGAGAGAGGGTATGGATTATTAACTGTCATTTTTAATAGATGCTTGATGGCTTCTAACAGCCCAAAATTAAATCACAACAGTTGCACTGCTGTTGAGACAAGTAATACTTCACCTTAAGCTTTCAATCTTCATTATTTTAGTTGCATTTGTAAGCCTGCTCTCATCTGCTTCCAAAAATAACTGAAACAGACCAGAGGCAGGTAATGTATGCCACAGAAATGGTTTGCAAGGAACACCTGTAACAGTAACCAGCTTCTTTGAGCAGTATGCAGAACTTGCTTACCAATCCCGCCTCCCAAATTTTAGCATCTATTTGGTGTTGGTTTTTTCTTCTTTCTTTCTTTCCTTCATAAAAGGAGACAACAGCTCTGGCATGCCCCTTGTTCTTCTTACACGGAAGACTTGGGTTTTGGTTTGGCTGAGAAAAGCAGAGCCTTTCCAATTACCACCTAGTATCTGAGCCACTCTAAGACCAAGTCAATTCCAGTAACATGGCATTTGTTAGACAACATTCTACTCAAAAGTCAAAGGAAGGATCTAGACCTCAAAACACGAAAGAAAATATTAATGCAACTAAACATTTTGTTAACCTTAGAATAACACTCCTAACTTTAAATAAAACAGTGTCTGAGTCTCCGAATGCCAGATTAAGAACCTGAAGGAGAACTTATTTTGTCTAAAAACCCCTTTATTAGAATAATCTATTCCATAAAGAGAATGAGTAAAGTTCGGTCCCCCTCCCCAAATTCCTATTAGGGACATGATAAGCAGCATTACTCCTTCAATTGGCTGAAAGCTATAGAGGTGTTGACTAATAAGCACACACTAACTCGCCAGCAGACCAAACAGAAAGTGCTAACCTTGTCATCCTTCTGGATTTTTCCCTCCCACTGCTGCATCGCCCCCCCCCCCTCTCCCCAAAAAACCCCCCACCCCCCCCGCCATTAACAAAAACTCCTTATTGTTTTGGGTTTTTACTTTTCCTCACTCCCCTTGTACAACATCCTCATGCCCACCTACACATAACTTAAAAGAGACTTAGGATCCTTGAACCATCTCCATGCCAAGCTTCACTGAAACTGCCCCACATGCTCAACTGCTAAGAGAGCAGGGAATCCATCCACAGCAGGGCTCTGACTGCCTCCTACATTATTCTGCAGTCAACTGCAAATATTTCAACTCTCTTTATTCAGCATAGCTTCTACCACATATTCAAGAAAACTCAGCTACAATTCAAACAGATATATTAACAGGGCCTTTTCCAACTTCAAAAGAGGCATTAATTTCAATTTAAAAGGGCACAGTAACATGTGCAATTCTGAAATCTAAAAGTACCTTCTTTTTTTTCCTTCAACACCAAACACTAGATTTAGGTTAGACATTAGGAAGAAATTCTTCACTGTGAAAATAGTGAAACACTCAAAACAGGTTGCCCAAAGAAGCTGTGGATGCCAAATACCTGCAAGTGTTCCAGGCCAGGTTGGAGGGAACTACATGATCTTTACGGTTCCTTCCAACCCGAACCATTCTATGATGATTCTACCATTATCCTTTACTCTCACTTCTACAAAAACTCGCTGGGAGGGGGGGAGGAGATCAAATTAAACAGCTCAGTTAAAATCAAACAGTTCTGTGAATTCACCTGTGCCCAAAACGTTACAGCATCTTCAACGTGGCAGCCCACAACATCTTCAACTTGAGGGAGAGGAAAGAAAGGAAAAAAGAGTTAAGTATTCTCAAGTGCAAGATCACACATTTAAAACCTACCGCACCTCACCTTTTCCATAGACCGCGTCTCCGTCCATGACAACAGGTTCTGAAACAAGACACCGATCGTTAGAAGAGCAAGCAGGGTATTCCAGAGCTACACGCACCGGCCTCGCAGGCCCAGGCAACTTCTCCCAGCCCCGGACACCTCGGGACCGCTGCTCAGCGGGATCCCGCTCCTCCGCAGCTCCTCTCCCCTCCCTCCCCTACCGAAAGACGCCCCCAGGCCCGCACGACAGGACTTCCCGCCCGCAGAGAAGGGCCCCTCCTCAGCGCCCAGCCCTGGGAACCCCCTGGGGACCCCCTGGGAAGCCTCGGGGCGAGGCCCGGGCCCCGACCTCC